ATGGCAACAGGACCAAGCCAAAATAGGTCTGCGTTTTTCCCGACAGAAATGGATGTGCTACTACAAGGATATAGTGACTACGAGCCCATATTTCGTAAAAAAAAAACAAAAAAACAACACGGCTGCAGTGGCGAAAGAGAAAGAGTTAGCTTGGGGGAAAATAGCTGCCCGAGTCAATGCGTACGTTTACATTTTAATCATACAGTGTTCGGTGTAAGTAATTACTAAATAATGTTAGTAATGTTATTATTTGTCACTTGTAAAGTAAGGAATGGTTCTTAATTCTTCAATAATTGAATGAGTAACTTCAGTAATTGCATAAAATACCGATTTTTGTACGAATTAAAAGTGCAGTTTTATGTCTACCCTTTCTTACAATTCCTATTGTGGTTGATATGGGATTTGTAAAGTAATGATTAATAAATAATCCAGTACGTTTTATGGAGAGTAATTATTACATTAATCAAAATACTTTTTTAAAATTGACCCAACACTGATGTGATAATATAAGAATTGAATTTTAATTTTCATGTAGGTGCATTGATGGGAATATGTGTGCCATCAATGCATCCAACCACATTTGGAAATCCTGAAGGGGATTCTAATTATTAGTTTATTTCCAGAGGTCACAGCAAGATGTTATTAACTGATCATCATTTTTCAGATTAGCCTTACTGAAACGAATTCAATACCACTAACCTGCAATCCTGTGAAACTCCTCTTTAATGGCTCTGAGGGGTTTGTGCCCAGGAAACACAACAAAAATTCACAGAAAGCGCTTGAGGGTGAGGCACACTTTCCGAACTATTCTACATACTGTGGCCTTACTTGCTCTGCATCCCCGATGTTATAAAGAAAACTGCCGTTTGCAACAAATCGTAACGCAACACAAAGCATCTGCTCGGATGTAAGAGCACGGCCACGATGGGTGATGTGTCTGATGTATGGGTGGATAAGGTTATTGATATATGTTATGGACTCTCTAGAAAAACGGTACCGCTCAAATAAAAATACATGGGGATATGACAAAAAATCAACTCGTGGCCTCAATATCCTCTCCCGACGTAAATGCAATTCCCTGCGAATTAATACAGCGTCCTCATCTACAGGATCCTCTATGAATGGACACGCCCTTTTGGTCTCTGCGTGACGGAAACGTGTGCAATCTATGAATGTACTGAAAGATTAAATGAGGTATTAAACACCTTTCACTTTAAAAAGGGGCGGAGACCCGGAGGAAACTCTGAGTTTCCCGAACAAAACCTGCTCCCCAGCAGGTTAGGTTCACAGAGTAAGTTGCCATAGTAACTGACTCTGAGTTTAGATTACCTCTCTTTGTGAAACGGGTTTAACTTACCCCGCTTTCATGGGTTTAAGTTACCTCCGTTTCTGAAACCGAAAACTCAGAGTTGCCCTCATTTCGGGGTTAACAAACTCTGAGTTTCGACAAAACCGCCTTCTTGAAATAGGCCCCAGGACTGAGGCCTTCACAGGCTCATTTTGATTTTATCAGTGTAGCAACTTTTCCACCTCAGTCAAACAAAAAACGTTGTGATATTTGAATACATTGTAACATAGGCTAACTTGAGGAAGGAGCTGGAAACAGAAGTTGCCTTTTTCTCTTTTATTTTCCCCCACGCACTAAATACATCCCACCCAGGTGCTTCCCCAAAAGGCTTTCTGGGGGACCCTGCTTAGTGTCTGTCTGCCCCCTATTGCTACACAGCCCCCACCTGGCTGGTTAACTGTCCTCAGTAAACACAGTCATAGCAAAATCTCTTCATGTTGGGTGTGGCCTGCAATGGTGCTGAATTTGCTCTGGTGGGTCCTGGGTGGCTGGTAGAGAGGG